TAGTAAGACAAGTTGTTTGGTCCAGCACTGACTTCTACTACGAGGACTACTACTAAACTAGTACTACTAGGACGACCACGACTAAGACTACGATTACGATTGTTACTACTACTCTACTAATAAAACTAACTCCTGCTACTACTACTACTACTACGTACTACATTAGACGACTATACCGACGACGACTACTAGTAGTAGTAGTAGTACTTAGTACTAGTAGTAGTAGTAGTAGTAGTAGTAGTAGTAGTAGTAGTAGTAGTAGTAGTAGTACTAGTAGTAGTAGTAGTAGTAGTAGTAGTAGTAGTAGTAGTAGTAGTAGTAGTAGTAGTAGTAGTAGTAGTAGTAGTAGTAGTAGTAGTAGTAGTAGTAGTACTAGTACTAGTACTAGGAGTACTAGTACTAACTACTTGTAATACTACTGCCACTACTAGTAGCTAGTAGTGCCACTACTAGACTACAACTATTACTAAAATAACAAGAATAACTACTACTACTACGACGACTAGGACGACTTACTACTACTAGTACCACTACTACTACTACTACTACTACTGCTACTGCTACGACTACAACCACTATTTCTTACAGCAACAGCACTACAATTGGTACTAGTACTATTACTAGCACACTAGTACAAGACTACTACTACTACTACTACTACTACTACTACTAGTACTGGTACTACTACTTTACTACTGCTACGACTCCTACTACTATTACTAGTACTAGACTAGTAGTAGTAGTTAAATACTACTAATACTACTACTGCTACTACTACTACTACTACTACTACTACTTAACTACTGCTACTACTACTACTACTGCTGGCTGCTACATGGTGTACTACTTACTATACTAGCACTTATACTCGTTGGCCACTTGGGTCTTGGTGACCGTGACCTGAGCAACCGGACCCGCGAGAAATAACCCGGTAGCTTCCAGTGTGACTTTTTGGTACAGACTTGACCATGGACTGCACTGTCAAAGTCTTAGTTAGTATTGCTACTAGTACTGGTACTGGCCCGAGTACTACTACTACAAGTACGTATTACTACTACTGCTACTACTGCTACTATTGCTACTACTACTACTAGTAGTAACTACTAGGACTACTACTACTACTACTACTACTACTACTAGTAATTATTACTACTACGACTACTACTGCTACTACTACTTCTTGCTACTGCTATTACTTTAATTAATTACAAAACAACTAGTACTACTACTACTACTACTACTACCAAGACTACTACTAGAAGTAGTAGTAATAGTAGTAGTAGTACTACTACTACTACGACTACTACTACTACTCCTGGTACTACTACTTACTACTACTTACTACTACTTACTACTATTACCATTACCACTACCACCACTGCTACTACTACTACTACTACTACTACTAGTAGTAGTAGTACTACTACTACTACTACTACTACTACTACTACTATTACTACTCCTACTACTACTACTACTACTACCACTACTTAGTACTTGTAAGTAGTAGTGGTGCTAACCCTGGTAGCTGCTACATGGTTCGATCACTTAACTCAGCATTCTAGACTAGTTTTAAGTGGGTCTTGCTGATTGCGACCTGAGCCTGAGCAACCGGACCGGGAGAGAAATCCCCGGTGGCTGCCAGTGACTTGCCTGTCAATGGTACAGTAGAGACTTGAAAATTGACAGCACTGTCAGACTACTAGAGGAATTCTTGCATTCAAGAAGAAACCATGTATTTAATTGGACGTTTGACATGTCTCTAGCTGACTTTTGTAGTTAGTAACTGCAGCGTATTAACAGTTTGTACACATTGACATGTGCTTGCTGTTTACTTACTTACTTACTTACTTACTTACTGACTTACTTACTTACTACTACTACTACTACTACTGCTGCTGCTGCTTCTTTACCACGACTACTACTACGAGTACTACTAGCCATTAACTAACTAGCAGTACGACGACGACGGGTACTAGTACTACAAACTAGTTGGCCAAATGGGTCTTGGTGACTGCGACCTGAGCCTGAGCAACCGGACCGGGAGAGCAATTCCGGTGGCTGCCAGTGACTTCTGTCTGCATTGTCAAGACTACTTACTAGTGGAATTATACTTTCTACTACCAGGATTACTACTCCTACTACCACAACGACTAGCACAACAACAACAACTACTGTTACTACTACTACTACTACCACTACTAGTACCACTAGGATTACTGCAACTACTACTCTTTCTACTACTTAGTACTACTAGTTACTTACTTGACCTACTTACTGTAGCAATACTACTGCTACTTTCACTTACTACTGCTGCTACTAAACTATCACTTTTACTACTACTACTACTAGTACTACTACTACTACTACTACTACTACTACTACTATTAGTACTACTACTACTACTACTACTACTACTACTACTGCTACTTACTACTACTACTACGATTACTAGTACTACTAGTACTAGTAGTTACTACTACTACTACTGCTACTACTACTAATGGTTTTACTACTTCTACTATTACTACTTCTACCACTACTACTACGACTACTACGACGACTACTACTACTACTACTACTACGACGACTACTACTACTACTACTACTACTACTACTAGTACTACTACTACTAGGCAACAGGAGCTTCTGTGATCCACTCTTGCTTGACTTGATTGAATGCTTTGTTGCCTTACCAAAACGTCCTCTTGGCGCTTCAGTAACAGAGGGCGTTCACACCGCTGGCCGGCTGTGGGGCACAGGCTAAGGGAATGCGGTCCTGGCTCGGAATGCCCTGCAACCCACGCCCCAGGGCCAAACAGCCTTGCGCCGGGCTGTCGCAGGGCGATGCGCTAATGCGCCTGCGGGGGCGTGGGTAGGCAGACTAGCCGTCAGTACCGGATCCTGGGAGGCATTGGGAGGCCACTTGATTGATTGTCATGATTCATGATTGCTCTGCTTGGCATGCATGGCATGACTGGCATGGTTGTCATGGTTGGACCACGAGTGGATCACAGAGGCTCCTGTTACTACTACTACTACTGCTACTACTACTACTACTACTACTACTACTACTACTACTACTACTACTTAGTAGTAGTAAGTAGTCGGAGTAGTACTACTACTACTACTCGTACTACTACTACTACTACTACTACTACTACTACTACTACTACTACTACTACTACTACTACTACTACTACTACTACTACTACTACTACTACTACTACTGCTACTACTACTATTAAAACTACTACTACTAGTAGTACTACTACTAGTACTACTAGTACTACTACGACTACTACTACTACTACTACTACTACTACTACTACTACTACTACTAGTGCTACTACTACTACTACTACCACCACTACTACTAGTACTACTACTACTACTACTACTTTTATTACAACAACAAAAACAAACACCACTACTACTACTACTACTACTACAACGACGACGACTACTACTACTACTACTACTACTACTACTACTACTAGTACTACTAGTACTACTACTACTACTATTACTGGTACTACTACTACTACTACTACTACTACTACTACTCCTACTCCTGCTACTACTACTACTACTGCTGCTACTACTAGCATCACCACTAGCAACAACAGCATCTAAATCTCCGACTGCTGCCAGGCTGCCCGACCACCCAGCTGCTGCATTCTGACAAGGCCAGTACCGCAGTGTGCACAGTGAAATGCTGCAGCCTTCCTGTCCCGGTCCTTGCTGTTGGATTTAAGCTTCAATTGTGTATGAAAAGTGGGTCAATAGTTTTGATAATAACAGCCGGTTCATCTTCCGGTTCAAGTCTTGTATAACTTTGAAATTTAACTTGTGTCATTCCAGGTCTACCATAACGGATCTTGCTTCAGGTGAGTCCAAGGTCAAGCAGTAGCATGCAAACTCAGCCAGCAGTGGAAGCAATTCAATCGAGTCAAGAAAACCTTCAGTCAGTCATCAGCAAGGCCATGCCATGGATTGCAAGTGAAGCAGGATATGTTGCTAACTGGCTTAGTTTCGTCATATCCATTCTACAGTTCAGTGAATTTAAATTTAAGAAGAGACATGACATGAAGGACAGGCACTCCAGATTGGACATCGGAGCCTTGCTCGTCATTTAACTTCTTTTTTGGATTCATGCTCATGAGTATTTACACTCTAAATTTAAATCGAAGTCCTTGACACTGCAAGTCATTTATTTATTCAGTCAAGTTAGGTCTGAAAGGAAGGACAGGACATGAGGAACTACCTCATCAATGTTTCTTGGATTTGCATCATTGGCTCCATGCACAGAGCTGTCACAGGCTCCAGCTATCTCAGCACGCAGCCAGGCACATTTAAACTCTGCTAAGTGTCGTATAAGCAGAAGTTCAAGTTAACTAACTCTCTGACTAGACGACCTTTCAGTTTTCCAGAAGAGGCCTGCTCTGCTGCCAGTCCGACTATAACATTTGACTCACAGTGTATATTTATGAATTAATTATATTAACAGTCACAGAGAGCACCAGTGTCAATTAAAAACTGATCTGAGCCTGAAGCTCCACCTACTGCCTGCCTAAGAAGCTTAACTAAAATTCAAAAATACGTTTACAGTACACAAGCTATTTTTATTTAGATTCCATTTCAGTCACTCCGGTTGCACTAGTATTTGTATTGTCCTGGAATGAATGAGCTGAACCAACGAAGTTAACAGTTACAAATCACTCATTTGTTGTCTAATTTAGTTCATAAGCTAGTTAGTGCTGCAGCAGCACCTAGTAGCTAGCATGTCTTGCATGTCCATCAAAGGAGTATGTAGGGGTTGCAGTAGCTCCTACAAAAAAAATGTAGGGTTGCAGTAGCTCCTTCAAACATACTTCGGGTTGCAGTAGAACCCTTATTTAGGAAACTATAGGGTAGCATTTGCACCCTGCCTCTCCTACTCTCCTCGGGTTTGCAGTCGCACCCCCGCCCGGCGGGTTGCAGTCGCACCTTAGGGAGCGATGGCTGCCCGTGCCATGGTCAATACGGCCAAAAAGGCCCGGCAGCAGGAGGACAGGGTGCAGAAGATGATGGCCAAGGTGCGGGACGTCAACGACCGGGCGGTGATCCACAACGTCGAGCAGTTCCTCGACAAGTGCGACCCGGGCCAGTTGGCCCACATTCGCACACTGGTGGAGACCAAGGTCGCAGGGGGCAGTGCCCCCGGGGAGGAGCAGGCGGTAGGGGAGGAGGACTCCCTAGCCTTGGAGAGCCACCAAAGCAAGTACAACTTGCTGACGGTGGAGCACCTGAAGTTTTTGCTCCGGGAAGTGTCCTTCCCGGAGCACGTGCTGGAGATGTTCAGGACGAAGCCAGTCCTCATCAAGCTGCTTGGGTTCGTTACCCACACGGATGCGAAGAGTGCTTTGCCTGGGAGGAGTCTCCCGGAAGTGCTGCTGGGCCAAATTGAGTGATTCTTGTGAAGTTTGCTGCAAGTCAAGTAAGTCTTGTTAGAGCAACTTTAATCTTTATGTCATATGTCCTTGAATGTTTGCCGTAAGCTGCAGTATTGGACTATTCAGTTTCTTCACTCACACCCTATTTCCGATTTTTGCTGACCTGCCTAACTTAATTACATGAGTCCTATTAATACTATTACAATTGCTTCAGGTCTGTTTATGAATTAACTAATAATGAATGAAGCCCAAACACATTGCTTGCAGACCAGGCTCGAGGAGGTTCGGTCGAACCTGAAGCCTTCCCGGGTGGAGACGGTGGACTCAGTCGAGTCCGTGGTCTATTGGACCAAGGAGGAGTCGTTCCTGCGGTTCATCGACCACACGGACAATTTACCCCTTCAGGTTGATTTGACCGAGTATCAGATGGAGGACTGGGACCTCCAGGAGGCGGACTCCTACACGAACGGGAGGCTGGTCGATACCTCGTCCAACCTGGGCTTGAAGACGAGTTGTATCAACCTTTTTTTGAGAAAGGGTGTGAGGGTGAGTGCACCCTTGTATCGCCCGAGGATGACGAACAGTGGCTCGTCGCCCAGCGCGGGCAGTGCCAGCGCGGGCAGTGCCCGCGCGGGCCGGCGGAGGTAGCCGAGGAGCAGTCTGGCTCCTCAAGGAGCAGTCTGGCTCCTTGAGTTGAGGAGCAGGCTGGCAAAAAAAGGAGCAGTCGCTCCTTTTTTATTTCTTAAACAGTGTGCTGTCCCGACCAGCCTCACTTAATTTTAGCATATTTATATCAATATAATTATGTCAGCCCTCAGAATTTCGAGACCTGTGAATTTCATTACTGTTGCAGCAGAACAACATTAACTTAACTTACTTAGTAAGTTAACTACTAGGGAATGAGAAGCAGTGGATTCAGCGAATCTTGCAATAGATAAGTGATATAGCCTAACATAGAGTATCGGAATCCACCGACCGACGGCAGCGGCCGGGAGGGAAGCACACAGTTTCAATTCAAGGGGCTTTCCTGCTGTAGCTGCCAGCTCTGCCAGCAGTCCGAAAAGATTTCGTGGCAGCAGGGTCCATCATGATGCAACAAGACGATGTCGGTGCCAGGATTGTTGAACCTCTTAGTCAGACACAGACTCAGACATCACTACTCTCACTCTTGGGGCTGGGGGCTAGGATTGAGGCAGGCAGTAAATCCTCCAGGGTTAAATTGTGTTTGTGTGGTTTATCTTCTTATCTGCAGATGATGAGCAATGATGATAATCATTGTGACATGAGAACCGATTAGCAAGTCACAGCCTCAGCTACCCGTCACTGGTTTAGTAACCATCTGACAGCTAAGGTACTGTTGCCAGTGCCAACCTGCAAATTGCAATTGAGATGTAGAGGAAGATATTCCTAAGATGTTTGCAGTGTACCCAGACTCCTCCCTGAGTATTCTTCAAGGGTAAATAGGACAGAATTCTGGATCTATTGACATATTTTTGAACTCATTTTATTACATGCAAGACCCACATCCAGAATGTTTTCTTGAGCTGAGTCGTGATGAGACTTAATAATTAATTTAATAACTTCGGTTACAATCAATGAAAAATCTACTTCGATGCATCAGAACCAGGGCATGAATCCAAAGATACCCGGTTCCTGAATTCACATCATGCTCACTCCTGCCTGACAGGCTGCCAGTCGTCGCTTCTGTGCTGCACCGGCTGACGAGTCACGCCAGCAGCAGGACAGAGATCAGAGTCTCTCTAATAGTGACTTAGTTCTAATACAAGTTTCTGACAAGTATAGGGCTGCTGGCCATGATTGCGGATTCTTATTTGGCACAATATTATTAAGTAGTGTTTGTGATGGTTGCTATTTCACTTGATAATTATGGAGGGTGGGCACAGGTTTCGAACATCATGTGGTTGAAGTAGTCTTGGGTTTTACTTATGCCATGGTTGTCACAGCGACTTGAATGTGGTGATGATGAAGCCCAGTCATAACTATAAGTAGCTTTTAACTCCTCCTGCCCTGGAATGGAATCATCTGTCCCTCCTCAGCCTCGCCTGGTCGTTCCTTCTGACTGGTTCCTAAGTTGGTGGTTTCACAAGCTATTAGTTTATTTACTAATGACGTATTTGTTTTGCTGGCTTCTGTGTGTGGGCTGAAGCAGAGTCAAAATCGGTTCCTTCCGACTCACTTAGTTAAAGTTCCTTATGCCTATGATTAAAATTATGAATCATTCAATCAAATCTAGGATTGATGTCATCCCTTCTCGTGACTAGTTTATATGACTAAAGTAGTTAATTAAAAAATTAGGAAAGAAAGTGGCCACATACAACATGATGTTGTTTTGTATTGCTGCTGAATAGGTTGGGATGGTCAACTTGGGTTGCCAGGTTTTAACTGTTGTGTTTCTGTGCTAGGCTATAGCCTTCCTGAACGAACTGCATGATTCAGTCAGTGAGACCTCAGGCTTCATGTCTGTCATTGAAATATATTTTATACATGAACTGGGTGGATTTTCTATGTATCGAGCCTGGGAGAGAGTTCTTTACTCTGAGGAAGTCAACTCAACTCAGAGACAAACAGACAGACAGACACGCAGACAGACAGATCGCGTAATTCATAAAACCTACAGAATTTGACGAATCCGAATGCAGCCATGCTCTACTAACATATGAGTTATTTTTCTATTATCATTCAAGCAAACATTGACATAATTCTTCAAATCCATATTTGCTCAACCCGAAACTTTGGATTAAATTGAATATTGACATGACTTTAGTTTACAAGATGCTCTCCACACTATAAATGAACTACTGATCTGAGCATTTCTCGGTACATGCAGTTGTTAACCTAAGGCATTCTTTGTTTAATTGTGACATGACTCGAGGACAAGGCATGCTTGTCGTCATTCTCAACATCCGCATGCAATAGAAAGAAGACAAATAGCTTAGGTCACTTTGTTCAACATCTCTAGATGCTGAGCGGTGAAGAGTGCCGGAGGCCACAGCTACTGCTGCAGGTCGAACCCTACCTACCTACGTACCTACCTACATATCATGATTTTTACTTCTGTATTGTCGAAGTTGCCATGCCTTGCTGTGCCAGGTGGAGGCCTTAGACAGTCCAGTCTGGACGAAAATTAGAATGAAAATACTTTAACTTAGACCGGACAACCAAAATGGACTTCCATGGTACTGTCTGCAAGTTCCGACAGTTGAGTTCACATTGAAATAGTTAATAATTTCTGATTTATTTGTAATAATATTATTGAATTCTCTCCCTGGCTCCGATAGATTGCAGTAGGTTGAATTCAAATTTTATGATGTACAACTAAGTAAATTAACTGCTAATTCGTAAAATAACAGATGTCCGTGTAATTGCAGTGCAATACCCAAGTAGAAAAGAATTAATGTCGCGAACCCCATCGACATTACTGCATGGACACGACACATGGTGATCGCAGTCTGGACGTGGACTTAATCAGGAAGACAAAGTCACGGTGGAAGTGGCCTTGCTTAGTTGTGTCACGCCGGCCCAGCTAGTTTGAGCATGAGCGTTGGTTGACATGAAATGTTGTATGTAGTTCTCAGTAACTATTAACTATATTGTTTCCTCCGTGCTAGCTGTCTGTATCGTGCACTACTACATGATTCAGTTCTAAGTTTACTAAGTCTTACTTAGAATCTCTGAGAGAGGGGCATATCATGAAGGAGAAAGACATTACTTAAGTTAAGTGACAGCAAACGAGAAGACTTCTTTGGCACTAATGACGAGGGGTCCCTATGGAGCCATGCAGTTATTAAACTGTATTTCTTTCGGTTGAGTTTAAGCTAGTGTCAAGGATGATAGCATATACGATATTGGGTGTAGGCAATTAGGGGCTTAGTCTTTAAGGTTCAGGATGATATTTATTTTGTAAACAAACCCAGCCCTATTTAATTTCGTGATGCTAAGAGCGTCCTTGTGCAGACCCACTGATCGTTATCCAGTTGTCACCGGAGTCACTTATCTTCCCTGTGTCTGTTACTCACTGGGAATTACGATAGAGTGCCAGCATGGGTGTACAACAATGCGGAAACAACAGACCTGACATTCATACACATGAGTCACACAGACAGAAGCCAGCTGTGTCACACACATTTCCTGATTTGATGCAGCTAAGTTAAGTACTATGTAGTATAGTCTGGAAATTTTGAATGAGTAAAACAGACACAGGTTTAATCATTCTTTTGCTTAAGACTTATTCATAATAGCTTGCAAGCTGCAGGGTCTCATATTCCGACTTGGAGTTTAGTTTAGGTTAAGGGCACACTGCAGCCAGCCAGGGGGAGGAATCCTTAGTTAGTTGTCTGTCCGTTCACAATGTTTTTTCAGATAAAGGAGAAGGCCAAGCTTCCGTGTCGTCAAAGACTTGACATGGTGCTAATAAAAATCCAACCCTTTGGAAGTGACACTCATGTCTGCATGAATGAAACTGAATGCTGGGTAACTCAGAATTTAGTTTAAGTAAACCCTTAGGCTCGTTGGCATATGATTCGTTCCTGAATCAATCGACTCTTGCAGACTGTTGCATTTTTTATCACATTGCATGACATTCTTCGAGCAGTAACTAGCAATGTCAGAGACAAACCAGTCACTCGACTCGAAGGGACTGCTTGTTGCCATGGGGCTTCCTTTAAACATTGTAACAACATCGTAGGCAAAGACGATGTAGCTACAGCAGGTCCAGCTTCGGGTTTTACAGTTGCACTGGAGAGCCGGGGGACGGAAACCAGTCACAGTGCAGGGTCACTTTTGGCTTTGGATTGGTATTCACATCTTGTTAGTTCTTGAATTGGTAAATTATTTCATGCCATTGTTGAGAACATTTGGGTGTCCCGAGACCCGAGACGATGCATGCTAGAAGACATGGTCGGTGCAGTCTGTTTAGACTCGACATACGAATGAAGGAAGCAAAGAAGCCTCATGGAAAGCAACCTAGCATTAGTAAATAAGGGAAATGTAGTTTCGTCAAAAAAAAAATAGTAGAACGAAGACAATGAACACATGTACCATCAGAGAATGAGAAATAGAAAGAACACAGGATTGGATCAGATGGGGTGGGATGCCTCCAGGGCATGCTGTGGAGTTGTGTGAGCTCATTTTAAGTGGAACTTTCTTGTGAATTTCTTAAACAACTAAGGCCCTGCATTCAACGAATTTCTATGACTGTGAATGATTCTTGCACATGTGTCTCTGACTCGCTCAGTTCTCCGAGATCATAATAAGAATATTTGCATGATTCGCTTGCACCAGTGGCTTCCAGGACCTGTGTGAGTCATTCAGTAATCAGGTTATTGAAGGCAGACTACTCCTCGACTCGACTCTGTTCTTACTAAGAATAAAATAATTCGGCGACATTGCGTTTAAATTTTTTAATGTTTGGTCAGTCAGAGTCGCTGGCATGCACTGACAATGCGAGAGTAAGAACTACATTGAAATATAGTACTTACAGATTAGGCGCTGCATGGCATGAACCTCAGATCAGAACAGATTTGGGGAATGAATGTGCCATCAGCAGGCAGTGGTTAGGATAGCCTGTTAGTAAGTCTTATTGTATCATCAATGTCCTGATTCTGACTTTGTTGTTGATGTATATCAGAATTGGCAGAATCAGGCTTCCTCAGGGCAGTCGTACTAGCTTGGG